AAAGCACATTTCATCAGAATTTTGCACGTTAATACAAGCGTGTTTTCTTGCTATCGACTCCGGTAACTTCAGGTAACTTCCGGCGTGAAGTGGATTAAACATGTTGATATTGACCATTAAATTTAGGATTTTCTTCAAAGCCCACCCGGAATCTTTTTCTTGGAACTCCTCTAATTGGGTTTTAATTGGTAATACAACATAGATTGCTGCGTTCGAAGTTGTAAAATATTTAATTTCCGTCTGGATTTGATCAGCCTTTTGAATTTGAAATTCTCCCCCGAAGACAGCGTTTATCTTAACAGCCTGGTCCGTTTTCAGCGCGTTGTTGACACGTCGTCGAAATAGTGCGAAACAATCTTGGAGGAAACTCTGCACGTCCTTATGATGAAGGTTAGTTATGACACCAGTCCTGATGCGCGATTCAAATGTTGAATTAACATCATCCCAGTGAACGCGATCTCTCGCAGTTACGGGTCTACTTCCGGAACCTCTCTTCAGCATTCCTTTAAATTGACTCCGAAACGATTTAACTTGGACCATTTGAGCTACGAGACGTTGTTTTTCTCGCACCGTTTTCGTAGTCCGCATTTCCTTTTGGATTCTTCTTATCGCTTGAGTACATTCTTTCATACCCTGAGCGACACCATCATTTTTAGGAGAAGTCAGTAAAAGAGCCAACAAAGCTCTAATGGCTCCAATAAGCTCTTCGACCACAGACATCTTTTTCAATGTGCCGCACACGTACTACAACTCTAAAGCTAGAGCACAACAGAAAATCCCAATTTGAGTGTCCTGTAAGGTAAACTTTGGAAGGACGTAGCACTGAACGCTATTGTGTGGTCCGGATCTTCGATAGAAGATTTTTGTGAACTGTTGAGTAGTAACACAGATTTTTTAAAATAAATCGGTCCAACGACACGTGCATAAATTTTATTTACGTCAAATCGTTTATTTAAAGTATCACAAAATTTAACTTTGGCAAACTAAACAAAAGTAAAAGTTTCGTTGACATCAAACGTTAATATAGCAGCATCCTATAAAGAAACCACAATAATTTTTATAGATCATTATTGCCAAACTCAAAAAAATGGTAAATCAATCTTGTTTTTTACATCAGAACCCTTAATACCCAAAATAAGTCAAAACTTAAGATCAAAAGGTCAAATTAAAATTTGTAGAATATAATTGAACGTTCATAATTCCAACGAAATATTGTATTCTAAATTTAGTGACTGGGTCAGAATGGTGATGTTTTATTTAATGTGAAATCTCATATCGGATGATTCTACGCATAGCAAAGTCCTCGATATTTTGAAAATATTTAATATTCTCAGTATTCATACCTGTGGTATTTTTTATTTAATCGTTGTGAAAATATGAAACCATAATGAAACTGTAGGTACTTACCACTTGCTATAATAACACCAAGACTTATAGTAGAAAAAACGGAGATTGAAATTACTTGCGACTTGATACACACGTCAAATAACAACGGTGGCAATACGAAGACTCTGATAACGCATCTATACCCGGTTATCGCCAACTTATTTATGGAACACTTTGAGGAAAAAGTGATCGAGACCTCAGAGTACAAGCCAGCAACGTGGTTCCGGTACGTGGATGACACTTTCGTGATTTGGAAACATGGTATGGACAAGCTCAACAACTTTCTGCAGCATCTCAACAGTCAGCATCCCAGCATCCAGTTTACTATGGAGACTGAAAATGACCAACAACTTGCATTCTTGGACGTACTAGTGAGGAAGCGAGGTAACAAGCACAGTTTACAGAAAACCAACCCATACAGATAGATACCTGCATGCTCTATCCAACCATCACCCAAGTCAAAAGTATGGGGTTATCAGAACCCTGACAGAACGAGCCCGAAGGATTTGCGAACCGGAGAAACTCCAGATGGAACTTGAACACCTAAAAACTGCGTTCGAGGCAAATGGCTACAGTAAGAGGGAGATCGAGAGATCAATGAACTCAAGATCATCAAGATCACGGGATACCGAACAACGACCTTCCACCTCCCACGCATATCTGCCGTATATTCCGAGTGTCACCGACAGGATTGGCAAAGTATTGAAAAGACACGACATCAAAACAATCTTTAAGCCTACAAAGAAGATCCAGCAGACCATCAGGTCAGCGATGGACAAGAGGGGCTCACTTTCAGCTGCGGGAGTCTACCGCATTCCGTGTTCATGCGGAAAGGTCTACATCGGAACTACCAAGAGATCAATGGGAACGAGACTTAAGGAGCATAAAGCAAGCTGCAGGCTAGGACATACAGAGAAGTCTGCAGTGGCTGAACACGCACTGGGCAGCGGGGAACACAGGATACACTTTGAGAGCAGTAAGTTACTAGCATCGGTCAACGGCTATCACAACAGACTAGTCAGGGAAGCCATTGAGATTCAAAAACACCCACACAATTTCAACCGAAAGGAGGAGACCCTTAGACTCAACCAAATCTGGAACCCGATCCTTAGGAACGCCCGAGCAGTACCGATCGATATCCCGAGACCAACCGAAGCGGAACAAGCCCCGCCCTCCACCAATCGGCATAAATACAACCTGCGCAGGAGAAATCGTCAGTCTACGTCCAACATCGGAGATGGAAGGACCTCTGAAGAAGCTCGCCACTCGTGCTAGCGAAACGTTAGGAAGTAATTCCAATCGACGACGGCCTTTAAACCCGAATGAAGATAATAGCTTATCAAACGCATTGATACTAGATGGCAGTATCTTCTACACTACAGCTACACGCCTATTGTATTGCGTAGCGTAAGTATTGTTTTATAGTCACACGTTACAACAGTTTCTGTAAATTGCGGCGTCTATTTTGAAAAAATAATTACAAAGTTTTTGATAAAATGAGTAGTGATTCATCGACTGGAAAAAGTCCTCCTAAGAAGAAAAATGTGAAATATGAACAGAAATTCGTAAATTCGTGGTTAAAAGATGATAGGTTAAAGGCTGCTTAAAGAAAAGCACTAAAGGTGAGACTTATTTCTTTTGTTCTGCGTGTAATTGCGTCAGAAAATTTGGTATACATGAACTGTTACGACACAAAGATTCAACCAAACACGCGAAGAATAGTTTGAAGTTACAAAAACAACAAAAACTGACATCAATGTTTACCTCAGCTTCCAATTCACAAGATACGAAAATTGCAGCTAAAGCGGGTGAAGTAAAAATGGCCTGCTTTATTGCTGAGCATAATCTGTCTTTTAACATAGCATCTTATTTGAATAAATTGATTTGCGTTGTATGTCCAGATTCGAAAATTGCTGAACAATTATCTATAAGCCGCACAAAAGCTAGAGCTATTATTGTTAATGTAAATGGGCAGACAGCTGAAGAAAATATAATAGAGATGTTACAGAACAATTGCTTTGCATTACTTGTTGACGAAAGCACAGATAAATCTACGATAGAACATTAGGGCTTGTCGGTAGAATAGTAAAATTAGATTTCAGCGTTGAAGATAGATTTCTGACTTTAATACCAATCGTAGATGGTACAGCAACAGCGTTGTATGGCAAAATAGTAGAATATTTTGTTGAAAAAATATTCCTTACAAATCAAACATGATAGGCTTTGCTTCTGATGGTGCTAACGTTATGTTCATTAGTCACTTTGTTTAAAAATGACATACCTCACCTTTTTACTATGAAGTGCATTTGTCATTCTTTTAACCTATGCGCATCATACGCATGTGAGAAATTGCCAAGGGGCTTTGTAAGGGGCAAATCGCACGTTCCGGCAACATCTCATACAACCGACACCGCAGCATCACAGCTGATATGAACTGTCTAATTTTGTGTTCTGTGTTCGACCCGGGTCCATGACCATATATGGTCAAGAATAAAATCTCGCCATGTCAACACGTGTGTGTTTGATTTCTACTCAAAAAATCACAAGAAATTAAGCTACGAATTAAACGACTCAACATTGGTCCTTCGATTACGGATATCAATCAGTGAAGCAAGAAATTCATCAAAAACAATCAAAAAGTGAAGCCAACAAACAGGCGATTCCGAAGATCTCGTATGCACATCCGATGGGATACAAAACTTAATCCATTCAGGTTAGTGCGTCCCTTCAGGGTGTTCCTACCAATCCAAAAGTTTTAGTCGATTACCAATGAGCAAACATGTCGAATGGAAATCAAACAAATCTTCAAACGTCGAAACATCAAATCGCAGTTAACAAGATTCAATACATTTTTCGAAAGGACAAAAATCCAGGCACCTCCAAATTTAGTTGAATTTGAAGTTCGCTTTACAGACATTCAAGGCATTCTAGATAATTTTTGTCAAATTCAAACCGAAATTGAAAATTGTGACCATGAAACAGGTTTTGAAGTACATGATCAGGAAAGAGCAAATTTCGAGGACTCTTATTACAGTATAATAAATCAGGCTAAGGTATTTTTATCAACTAACCATCCAGAGATGGAAGATCTCTCAGGAGGGGTACACAGTAACATTGCACAAAATTCTCAAGTCGGGTACAATGCTAATATAAAATTACCGCCCATACCTCTTCCCTGTTTTGAGGGAGAATATGAACAATGGCCATTTTTCAGAGATACATTTTCTTCACTTATATGTGATAATGACTCAATACCGAACATACAAAAATTTCATTATTTACGTTTATCGCTTAAAGGCCAAGCGGCTTCACTTTTAAGCTCTCTCGAAACATCTTCAGAAAATTACACAGTAGCGTGAAAACTTTTGTGTGACAGATATGAAAATAAACAAATTTTAGTCAGAAACCACATTATGCAATTCTTGAACTTGAAACTCTAACTAAGGAAAATCATACAAATTTAAGAAAATTACTTGATGGTATGACACGGCATTTAAGAGCATTAGAGGCACTAGGCCAACAAATAAATACTTGGGATGCGTTAATTTTACAAATCATGTCCTTGAAACTTGACTCATCAACTCGGCGTCAGTGGGAAAATGAATGCATAAAACATGACAAGGTAACTAAAGACATTTTTACAAATTTTCTTGAACAAAAATGTAAGGTCCTTGAAAATTTAGATTTTGGGAACAACAATCATCAAATTAAATCAAAACCTCAAAAATTAGTAAAGGCTTATAAGGTATCGCAAACACCAATTTGCAGCAAGGGTCATTTAATTTTTAATTGTCCTGGTTTTATCGCGCTAAATCCAAATGCGAGATTCACTGAAGCTAAACGACCGAAGCTATGTCTGAATTGTTTGCTTAACAATCATACATCTGATAAATGTAGATCTGTGCTTTGTAAAAAATGCGAAAAGAGACACAACACTTTACTACCTTTTGAAAATAGTAAAGATGAAAACACACCAACTAAACCATTGCCGATAGTTGATCACTCAAAAAATTCAGAAAGCAATCAAAATGACAACATTAAATCAAGCCATTTTAGCAATGTTAGTTTAGGTACAGTATTACTTTCTACTGCGTTAGTGAATACATTTGACAAACTTGGAAACTCACATCAAATTCGAGTACTTCTAGACAATGCAAATGAATCAAGCTTTGTAACACAATCATTGTGCAAGAAATTGCAACTGCCTACCAAATCAGTGAATTTTACCGTTGCTGGTATTGGTCAACAAAATTCCAAGGCTTTAGAATCAACATCACTCAAGATTCAGTCACGTCAAAATTCATTCAATGTACAACTGAACTGTCTTGTAATACCCAAAATCACAGGCAACTTGCCAGCTGTCACTATTGACACATCTTTCCTAAAGATTCCTCCAAATCTTGTATTAGCTGATCCCACCTACAACAAGTCTAGTGGAATTGACCTATTAATACAGGCTGATCATTTTTGGGAACTTATATGTGTAGGACAAATTAAGCTTGGGAAAAAACTACGAACATTACAAAAAACATCTTTAGGTTGGATAGTTTCTGGAACAGTGTTTCCTCGAAAATATTCTACTACTCACAATGAAATTTCTTGCAATCTTAGTGTTGCACATGATCTAGATTCTCAATTGAAAAGGTTCTGGCATCTAGAAGAGATTAATAATGATGAAAGGATTCTATCACCCGAACAACAATTTTGGTGAAGATTCGAATTGTCAAAACTCAATTCCCAATTACATCCAAAGGCAAGTTCGATCATTTCCTCAGATTTCTATGCTGATGACCTTTTTACCGGCGGAGATTCTATTGAAGAAGTCATTGAACTCAAAAATCAAATAATTGACATACTCAAACAAGGTGGCTTCGAACTTAGAAAACTTATGTCAAACAAAATGGAAATAATGGAAAATTCTGCTCCAATGGAATTTCTTTCAATTGGAGACTCACAAAATAAAACTCTCGGTCTATTGTGGGATTCGCGACAAGATATTTTACGTTTTTCCATTAACACATTCACATATCATCCTTCAACTAAACGTGGTATTTTATCTTGTATTGCACTCATCTATGACCCACTTGGTCTTCTAGCACCTGTTGTTATAGTCACTAAAGTCATTATTCAAAAATTGTGGCAATGCAAAATCGACTGGGATGAGTCCATACCACTTGATTTATTTACAAAATGGAAACAGCTTCAAGATCAACTTCACCTTTTAAATTAACTTAAGGTTCAAAGACTAGTTTTTTCGCCCCATTCAGTTTCCATTGAAATTCACGGTTTTTCTGATGCCAGTGAGATCGCGTATGGAGCCTGCATTTACATAAGATGTCTAGACAATTTTGAAAATTATTGCACTCAGTTGCTTTGTGCAAAATCCCTTAAAAACTATTACCATTCCTCGTCTCGAATTATGTGGAGCTTTACTGTTAGCAGAACTCGTTGACAAAGCAAAACGGGCTCTGAACATAAATTTTGACGAATTCTACTACTGGTGTGATTCAACAATCACTCTTGCTTGGATTAAAGGCTCGCTACATCAGTGGAAAATATTCGTCTCAAACAGAGTCACCCAAATTCAAAACTTGACTGAAACTAATTCATGGCAGTACGTCAATACTCAAGAAAATCCAGCTGATCTTCCATCTAGAGGATTAAGTCCAATCGATTTTCTCAAAAATAAATTATGGTTCAATGGAATCAAACTGGCTATCTAAACCGACCGAAGGGTGGCCCATTTTTACGACAAATACAGATTCAGATTCAGACGTACCTGAAAAACGAGTTACTAGATCATTCACCCTTGTTTCAACTGCAAACAACTTTGATTTAATCAATAAATACGCAGATTTAACAAAATTAGAGAGAATAACTTGTTATTGGCTAAGATTCATTCAGATTTGTCGTCTTCCCCAAAATCAACGAAATTACGCATCTCTTTCAACAGCTGAATTAAACAATGACACTAATTAATTGTTACAATATCAAGAATTTGCAGCTGCGATTAAGGATCTTTCCAAATCAAGACAAATTAAAGCAAGTAGCAAACTGATAAAACTCAGTCCTTTTTTGGATTCATTCGGCACTTTAAGAGGCGGCGGGAGATTTAAGGATTCCAATTTCAACTCCGACAAAAAATACTCCGCAATTCTGCCATCCAATCATCACCTAACAAAACTTTTCGCAATGTATGAACATCGCAGATTGTTACATACTGGTGCGCAAACAGTACTAGCATCATTTCGCGGCAGATTTTGGCTCATTTCCGGAAAAAACATTGTAAAGAGGGTAACACGAGAATGTATTCAATGCTTTCGAAGTAATCCAATTCCAACCCAATATTTGATGGGCAATTTACCGCAAGTTCGTTTAACACCAAGCAGGCCTTTTCAAAACAGTGGCGTAGATTATCGTGGTCCATTTTTGTTAAAGGACAGAACAACCAAAAATTTCAAGGTAATTAAATCTTGGATTTGCTTATTTGTCTGTTTGTCCACAAAGGCAATCCACCCAGAACTGGTTACAGAATTGTCAACTAACTGTTTTCTTGCTGCCATGCAAACATTTCTTTCACGCCGTGGTATAAGCTCTCAATTATTTTCTGATCATGGCACTAATTTTGTAGGATCAAAAAATGAATTAGAAAAATTAATCATTAAAAATCAAGACGAAATTCAAAGACAATTAAGTGTTAACGGAACTACCTGGCATTTTATTCCCCCCAAAGCACCTCATTTCGGTGGCCTCTGGGAGGCTGGAGTTCGTTCGACAAAACACCATTTAAAACGAGTGTTAAAGGACACACCTTTAGCCTATGAAGAATTTTCAACGATTTTATGCCAAATTGAAGCTTATTTAAATTCCCGGCCATTAACTCCTCTCAGTTCAGACCCCAATGATCCTCAAGCCTTGACACCTTCGCACTTCCTGATTGGAGAAAGGCTGACAAAAATTCCCGAATCGGACTTCACACCAATACCAGAAAACCGTTTATCGAAGTTTCAAAGATGTCAACGGCTAGTACAACACTTCTGGAAGCGTTGGTCCAACGAATTTATATCGGAACTGCAGCAAAGGCAGAATTGGACTAAATGCTATCCGAAATTGCTAAAGCCAGGTTCCTTGGTTATCATCAAGGAGGACGATTTGCCCCCATTGAAATGGAAGCTTGGAATCGTACAAGATGTTCATCCAGGAAGTGACGGAATAGTTCGTGCAGCAACTGTAAAGACACCATTCACAACTGTAAAGCGACCAGCAGTCAAACTTTGTCTCCTTCCGAATGATGACAATCAAACATCCGTTGAAGCCTAGCGGCTGTCAAGGCGGCCGGCATGTTAGGCACAAATCGCACGTTCTGGCAACGTCGCATACAACCGACACCGCAGCATCACAGCTGAGATGAACTGTCTAATTTTGTGTTCTGTGTTCGACCCGGGTCCATGCCCATATATAGTCAAGAATAAAATCTCGCAATGTCAACACGTGTGTGTTTGATTTCTACTCAAAAAATCACAAGAAATTAAGATACGAATTTAGAGTTGTAACATTAAACGACTCAACAGGCGTGAAAGATTTCTGTAGAGACGTATATAATCATGTACAAAATTCTCCAAAACGTATTGGAGATTTCAAAATATTTCAAGCATTCACAAATATTAAACCACACAAATTACTCCACCCTAGAAAAACCAGATGGTTGTCGCTTATGGAGGTAGTAAATAAGCTTCTAGAACAATTACCAGCTCTCAAATTGTATTTTCAAGCTGCAGTTCATGTAGATACATTACTTTCTGTGCAATAAATTCTCTCCAAGGCTCTCGAACCGACAACTGAATTGTACCTGGATTTTTTGAAATTTGCATTACCTATATTTAACGATCTCAATAAAGAAATGCAATCCGAGACTCCGAAATTATATTTACTATACGACAAAATACTGACCGCATACACAACGATCTTGGAATGCTTTGTAGAAGCTGAATATTTGAATCTCACTGAACAACAAAAAAATGAAGCACAAAATATTTTATACGCAAAAGAAACTTAAATATTAAACCTTGACTTCTCGAGTGAGCAGAAACATTTGCCGATGCAACATATATACGTTGGTGGAATGATGCCAAATTTGATCAGAAGAAAGAGAGAAGTAGGAGAAGTAGAGGAAGAACAGCTGAAAAATTTCTACTTAAAGTGTTATATCGAGGCTGCAAAACAGAAAGGTTTCCTTTTGACGACAAAGACCGTCAAGCATTAAAAAGTCTGAAGATGCTAAATCCTAAAGCAATTCTGGATCCTGAAATAAAAAAGAAATTCCCTTCCATTGCAGATTTACATTATTTCTTCCCAAAGATTTGTCCAAATAATATAATGGAACTAGATAGAGAATGGCGAATGTTAAGAAATGTCGATTTTTCTTTCGACCCAAACAAAACTCTCGATATTATCGACTTTTGGAAACATGTACAAGAATTAAGAAATGGAGACGAATCTCCAACATTCCCTACATTGTGTGAATTGGTAAAAAAGCTTTTGTGCCTACCACATAGCAGCGCCGCCGTGGAAAGGTTATTTTTTACTATAAATATTATGAAAACCAAATTACGCAATAGAATATCGACTACAACTATTAAAGGAATATTACATACTAAATCCGAAATAACTGATTGCTATTCATTTGAAGCTACAGAAAAGCACATGAAGAAATTCAACAAAAACATGTATGATTTTAAAAATAAAAATGAGTGTGAAAATATTGAAGATGAGGCAATTGAAAATGAAACTGAAAAATAATTTTACTTTGATTTTTGTTTTATGTTGCTGTGATTATAGAATTTGAAAGATATTGACATGAATATATAACTGTTTGTATCAAAAAATGATAGTTTAAACTGATATTTGCAGTTTTGATGCGGTTTTAGGTACGATATGAGTCGAAGAAGCCGATTTTGACTGAAATCTGTTTAAAATGATAAGGAAAAACCTACTATCAATCCAAGAAAGTGAATTTTGTGTGAAGTTGGTAAAGTTACCTGTAGTTTTAATGTAAATTTCATTCCGCTAAGTTATGGCCACGTGGAGACGTCGGGCCAGTTCGTACCTATATCCGCAGCAGGTCTCCAAGGTGAAGAGCCTCTAGTCGATAGAATAATGTCGGTAAGGGAAGTCGGCAGGGGAAATCCCCTGGGAAGCAATACGACGCGCACGAAGTTGTTTGGCGGTTAACCCCTGTGCTGTTGCGACATTCTACTGCAATAGTGAAGGGCTGGGACGCATATTAGGTTTAGAAATGCCCCAAGATAGTGTAGATGAGGGGGTTGTCACTGTCTCCACAATCTGTCCCGAAATTTTCGAAACGCCCATCGGGAAAGCCACAGAACGCACACGACACGTTAAGACGACACACGCGACTATCCCGGATTCGATGGCGCAAGGGCGATGGCGAAAAGCCCCGATTTACGAGCAGCCGCGAAACGCATGTCCACACTCGACGACCTCTCTCAAGAGAGGCATAGTTAAGTTACTCCCGCCGTTTACCCGCGCTGGATTGAATTTTTTCACTTTGACATTCAGAGCACTGGGCACAAATCACATTGCGTCAACATCACGTTAAGACCATCGCAATGCTTTGTTTTAATTAGACAGTCGGATTCCCCCGGTTCGTGCCAGTTCTGAGCTGACTGTTAAATAGCGGGCGAAGAGAACACCGGAAAACCGGAGTTTTCCAGGTCTCGTAGCGAGGCGGTTCCGCGGGAGGCCAAAGCTCGGGACCGGGTTCGGATCGGCTCGTTAACCGGAACTCGCTTCCTCGCCAAGCCCGACATGCCCCGATCCTTAGAGCCAATCCTTATCCCGAAGTTACGGATCCAATTTGCCGACTTCCCTTACCGACATTATTCTATCGACTAGAGGCTCTTCACCTTGGAGACCTGCTGCGGATATAGGTACGAACTGGCCCGACGTCTCCACGTGGCCATAACTTAGCGGAATGAAATTTACATTAAAACTACAGGTAACTTCACCAACTTCACACAAAATTCACTTTCTTGGATTGATAGTAGGTTTTTCCTTATCATTTTAAACAGATTCCAGTCAAAATCGGCTTCTTCGACTCATATCGTACCTAAAACCGCATCAAAACTGCAAATGTCAGTTTAAACTATCATTTTTTGATACAAACAGTTATATATTCATGTCAATATCTTTCAAATTCTAGTCAAAATCGGCGTCTTTGGGCATTTTAGTAACGAAAACCTTAACAAACTATTAGATTTCGACGTAAGGCAAACTTTCGGAGTCAAATAGTTGCCGATTTCGATAAAACCTTAGTCAGAATCTGCTTTTTCGCCTCTTATTGTACCCAAATCTACCTTAGAAATGTAGATATATACTTAAAACACCTTCTTTTGGGACAAATAACTGGTTTTCGCCCTTGATTTACGGAAGATTATAGCCAAAACATGCATTTTCATAACTTAGCGAACTGAAATCTACATTAAAACTGCAGATAACTACTTAAAAATTCACTTCCTTGAATTGATAATATGTTTTTCTTTGTCATTTTAAACAGATTCCAGTCAAAATCGGCTTCTTCGACTCATATCGTACCTAAAGCCGCATCAAAACTGCAAATATCAGTTTAAACTATCATTTTTTGATACAAACAGTTATATCTTCATGTCAATATCTTTCAAATTCTAGTCAAAATCGGCGTCTTTGGGCATTTTAGTAACGAAAACCTTAATAAACTATTAGATTTCGACGTAAGGCAACCATTCTGAGTCAAATAGTTGCCGATTTCGATAAAATCTTATTCAGAATCTGCTTTTTCGCCTCTTATTGTACCCAAATCTACCTTAGAAATGCAGATATATACTTAAAACACCTTCTTGTGGGACAAATAATTGGTTTTCGCTCTTGATTTACGGAAGATTATAGCCAAAACATGCATTTTCATAACTTAGCGAACTGAAATCTACATTAAAACTGCAGATAACTAATTAAAAATTCACTTTCTTGAATTGATAATAGGTTTTTCTTTGTCATTTTAAACAGATTCCAGTCAAAATCGGCTTCTTCGATTCATATCGTATCTAAAACCGCATCAAAACTGCAAATATCAGTTTAAACTATCATTTTTTGATACAAACAGTTATATATTCATGTCAATATCTCTCAAATTCTAGTCAAAATCGGCGTCTTTGGGCATTTTAGTAACGAAAACCTTAATAAACTATTAGATTTCGACGTAAGGCAACATTTCTAAGTCAAATAGTTGCCGATTTCGATAAAATCTTAGTCAGAATCTGCTTTTTCGCCTCTTATTGTACCCAAATCTACCTTAGAAATGCAGATATATACTTAAAACACCTTCTTTTGCGACAAATAATTGGTTTTCGCCCTTGATTTACGGAAGATTATAGCCAAAACATGCATTTTCATAACTTAGCGAACTGAAATCTACATTAAAACTGCATATAACTACTTAAAAATTCACTTCCTTGAATTGATAATAGGTTTTTCTTTGTCATTTTAAACAGATTCCAGTCAAAATCGGCTTCTTCGATTCATATCGTATCTAAAACCACATCAAAACTGCAAATATCAGTTTAAACTATCATTTTTTGATACAAACAGTTGTATATTCATGTCAATATCTTTCAAATTCTAGTCAAAATCGGCGTCTTTGGGCATTTTAGTAACGAAAACCTTAATAAACTATTAGATTTCGACGTAAGGCAACCATTCTGAGTCAAATAGTTGCCGATTTCGATAAAATCTTAGTCAGAATCTGCTTTTTCGCCTCTTATTGTACTCAAGTCTACCTTAGAAATGCAGATATATACTTAAAACACCTTCTTTTGGGACAAATAATTGGTTTTCGCCCTTGATTTACGGAAGATTATAGCCAAAACATGCATTTTCATAACTTAGCGAACTGAAATCTACATTAGAACTGCAGATAACTACTTAAAAATTCACTTCCTTGAATTGATAATAGGTTTTTCTTTGTCATTTTAAACAGATTCCAGTCAAAATCGGCTTCTTCGACTCATATCGTACCTAAAACCGAATCAAAACTGCAAATATCAGTTTAAACTATCATTTTTTGATACAAACAGTTATATATTCATGTCAATATCTTTCAAATTCTAGTCAAAATCGGCGTCTTTGGGCATTTTAGTAACGAAAACCTTAATAAACTATTAGATTTCGACGTAAGGCAACCTTTCTGAGTCAAATAGTTGCCGATTTCGATAAAATCTTAGTCAGAATCTGCTTTTTCGCCTCTTATTGTACCCAAATCTACCATA